ATAGTTGTCTACCTAATTCTGGGAAACATGTTTTAAGAGAAACTTTTACCAAATAAACATTTCAAGGTAATAGTAACCAGGATAGAGAGTGGGGAAGTTCTGAAACTGCCATATGAGGAATAATTGGGAAGAGTGGTGACTCTCATTGGAAGAAAAGAAACTTGGGGGGGGGAAAGAAAAATTTATTGGGGTACATGATAGGGCTGATATGTCAATAAAATTATTTTGTCTCCCTTTACCATAACTATGCCCCCATGATTATGACCAGTAAGCGAAGGTTATAATGGCTGTCCCATTATGTTGAATCAGAATGAATGAAATTTCTAATAATGAGAACTGTCCAACAGTGTTATTGACTAAGCATTTACCATAGCCCAGGCTTGTGGAGACAAAACCAAATAAGGCAGAATTGCTATCTAGAGCAGCTCATAAAGTGAAAACCTCATTCTTAAAGTGATGAAACAAAGACTAATTGACTATCTGTTAAGGATCCTGAATCAGATAGGGAAGACAACTAAGGTCCACTCTAAAATGAACATTTTAACAGTCTGGAACCCCTGCAGAGCTGGCAGATAACTTTAGAGTGAGATGAAATATTCATTCAGAGTCCAGAAGACTCCAAGGAATACAATATATTTTTGAACTGTGCTCGCCAAGGTCTTTTATGGTCATGTAATGATGTATGAAGTTGGTGGCAAGTTAACCTTACCTTAGGGTTTTACTGTCACCTAGTGGTTATAATCTAAAATGTTAAAAAACAACATACAGTTATCACAAAAGCTCACTTTTATAAAAATCATAAATGAATATAGTGATAAAAATTCATTCATTTTGAACTCTCTTTTCAAAAAGTAGTTAAAATTGCTTAAATAACATGTTTTAAATACTTTTCTTCTGAAATTTCAAACTCTTTAACACTTGATTATAAGCAAGCCTATAATGGTATTAGCTTATTTTTTAACTCATATCTTTCAGTTATGTTATTCTCTTGCTTACAAAAAACAGAAAAACTTCATCTAAATGATAATTTCATTAAATTTTAATAATGTAAGTTGAGATCATGAAACATATGATCTAATTCAAAAGGAGAATCATAGGCACCAATTCAACACCATTAGCATGACTTTCACAATAGTGACACCCCACTTATAACATTCTTTTTTAGGTCTCTGACTGTGAACAAGATTAGAGAAGGTTGGCTCTGGTTAGACGCAGGCATTATGGTTAAGAAATAACATATGCGAATTAGTTAGTGGGAAGTTAAGCTCATGTTCGGCCTTTGCATTAATGCCTTTATGCTAAATAACTTAAATGAACTAAAAAGCCATGGCTATTGAACTACAGAATACATTAAAAAACTTTCTGTGATTGACCTATAAACAAAAGAGTAAAGCAGAATGCTTTCCATAGTCGGTAAAGTATAGAGAAAAAAAATCTAGCTGATATGGTTGATATGTTCTAACAACATAAAATGAAACATTTCTAGGTAGAACAAATTGGTACCATTAACATTTGGATGGTTATGGTATCATAATATTTTGATATAATATGAAAAATGCTGTTTCCCCAACTATGACCCCCATTATTACTTTTAAATGAATTATAAGCTCCAAATACTTGTTTCTTCTGCAAGTTTCCCACCCACCCCTGTATTTTTAAAATGAAACACAAGACTGATAAATCAGTTCTTTTTCCTAATTTAAAAAAAAGCTTTGAGAAAGGCAACCCCCCTTCTCCATGGTGAAGACTATATGCTTGCATGTGAGTTCTCAAGCCCGGTGGTCTGGCTTTGAATCTGTGCTTTCAAACTCTACTTTGTGTTGCTCAGAGTGACTTCCCAGGCCACGCTAACAACCCTCAGATGGCTTAAATGCAATGATGCATCATTGCATTTAAGAGAGAAAATTACATTTTACCTCTCTGATCTATTTTAGTGACATGGGAATTTTTTTGAGACAGAGTTGCGCTCTGTTGCCAAGCGCCAGGTTGGAGTGCAGTGGCGTGCTATTGGCTCACTGCAACCTCCCCCACTTCCTGGGTTCAAGCAATTCTCTTGTCTCAGCCTCCCAAGTAGTTGGGATTACAGGCATGCACCACCATAGCCAGCTAATTTTTGTATTTCTAGTAGAGACAGGGTTTCACCATGTTGGCCAGGATGGTCTCAATCTCCTGACCTCGTGATCCTCCTGCCTTGGCCTCCCAAAGTGTTGGGATAACAGGCGTGAGCCACAGAGCCTGGCCAGGAATGACAATTTCAATACATTTAATATCTGTTCTTTGTTTTATTATTATTTAGCTTCTGTTAGCTTAGTGTTAGTTGAAACATCAGAAAGAAAACTCATGAGAAGGGTATTAGCAAATGTGTGCAAAAGTCAAGTACTTTTTATACTCCAAAAATTATTTGGAGCTTATGATTCCTTTAAAAGTCATAGTGAGGGTCATAGTTGGGGAAGCAGCATTTTGCATATTGTATCAACATGTTATGATGGTCCCATAATCATCCAAATGTTAACAGTACCTATTTTCTTCTATCCTGGAAGAGTTTTATGTTCCCAAACCATTTGCAAAAGTTGCTTACAGTTATGAAGTCTTTTAGACATATAGAACCGAAGCATGCTGTCTTGTAATTTCCCATAAAATCCTTCAGGTACTTGAAGAAATTCTTCACAAACCTTGTTTCCATTTAACATTTTTTTTTCTCCAGATAATATATAATGTATTATCTCTAAGCTTTCTCACAGCGTAATGCCCTAACCTCTCAATTATTTTGGTTTCTTTCTAGGATGGACAAGGATTGCAATTAAGCTTAACAATTCGGTGTGGGGTCTATAGATATCCACTTCTTTTAATAAATTGAATTAATTTAAACACTGCAAAGTGTGCAACGGACTAGATTATTCTAAAGGAGAATTAGAGATTATGAAAGATAATCTCAAATCAATTTTAAGGTTACTAAAAACTGGTTGTAGATATTTTAAAATTGGTAATAATAATAATCAGCAATAGCCCTAATTAAAAATTTTTGGTCTTCTTGCCAAAATTAATACCTTATAAATTTTAGAATGATCATAGACTATTTAACAAAATGGAACCAGCCCAGTGATGGATAACAGGTGTGATTCCAATTTTTAAAATGCTGTTAATGCAATACTTTTTTAAAAATTATTCTTTGTACTTCACAAAGACATCAAGTTATTAGAATAAAGTATACTAGGTTAGAAGTAAAGAGATTTGGGTTCCAGCTTTAGTCCTATTACCTATTAGGCTTGTCACTTATTGCAAATCAGTTAAAATCCCTGAGTTTTGGTTTCTCTATTTATAGTCATTTACTTCATTTAGCTCCACTGCTAGGCTGTAAAAAACATGTAGTATTCATGACTGTTCACTGCTGTATCTGCAGCCCCTTTCTAACGCAGAGCAGGCGCTCAGCTAATGTTTACTGGTTGATCAAATTAAGTATTAGAAACTAAAAAATACAAATATTGTCATGCATGCTTCAGAAGGTTGCCATGAGCCTTAAATGATATAGTGAAATACTGTATGGGAAAATGGGTGTATTCTTTTAAGATTTTTAAAATGTGGATACATTCTTGGTACCTAACTTAAGGTAAATGGATTAATAATTGTAAGTGATTTTAAATCACTACAGTTTATATATTTGTAAGTATTCTGAGAAAAACAGGCCCAGCCAGGTGCGGTGGCTCATGCCCATAATCCTAGCACTTTGGGAGGCCAAGGCGGGCAGATTGCTTGAGCCCAGGAGTTTGAGACCAGCCTAGGCAACACAGCGAGACCCTATCTCTACAAAAAATACAAAAATTAGCCAGGTGTGGTAGTGCATGCCTGTAGTCCCAGCTACTCGGGAGGCTGATGTGAGAGGATCGTCTGAGCCCAGGAGGTCGAGGCTGCAGTGAGCTGTGATGGTGCTACTGTGCTCCGGCCTGGGTGTCAGAGTGAGACCTTATCTCAAAAATTAAAAATAAAAATAAGTAAAAAGAAAAATAGCCTCTACCTATCTAAAGGCTCTGAAGACTTTAGTTATTGCTTAAGATTAAGGCTTTGGAGAGAAAATAATCTGTGATTTTCAATATTGCAGGTAAATTCTCTAACACATTCAGATTAAGAAGTCAAATGTTGGCCAGGTACGGTGGCTCATGCCTGTAATCCCAGCACTTTGGGAGGCCGAGGCAGGCAGATCATGAGGTGAGGAGATTGAGGCCAACATGTTGAAACCCTGTCTTTACTAAAAATACAAAAATTAGCTGGATGTGGTAGTGCTTACCTGTAATTCCAGCTATTTGGGAGGCTGAGGGAGGAGAATCACTTGAAGCCAGAAGGCGGAGATTGCAGTGAGCCGAGATCTCGCCATTGCACTCCAGCCTAGCAACAGAGCAAGACTCCGTCTCAAAAAGAAAAGTCAAATGTTAATCCCTGTGCTACAACAGCACAGTCATGATATGTAATATCTTAACCACATTTTAAAAAGATAAGAGTATGATGTGTACTAACCTTGAAAGATCTAAGACATTCTCTTAAGTGAAAAATAAAATATGCAAAGAATGTTTATATTTATATAAAGAAAATCAAGCTATATATTTCTAAATTTTCAAATATATGTATATAGGAATACCTCAAAAAAGGCCTAGATGGTTCACACCTAATTGAGAACAGTGATCTGCCTTTGAGGAAGGGAGTAAGACTGTGTAAGGGCAAACAGGAACTTTTGCTTTGTTGGCACTGCCTGACATTTTTTAATATCAGGAATGTGAAATAAAAGATGAGAGCATATTACTAATCCATTGAATTCCTTAAGCCTTACTCGAATACTGAAGATGGTCCTTGCAAGAAGGGAGCGCTGTGGCTTTCAGTAGCACAACATTTAGGCATTCTCTCTTACGGTAGGTGAAATGGTTTTCCTATAGAGAAGAAATGCTAAATGGCTGACAGCACTGATACTGAACATTAAATATCACACTTACTAAAAAAACTAACCTGCAAAATTAGAAGGATTAAGAAGAAATATATTTGCTAGTTATATATAATGGTGATAGAAGGTTAGGTTAAATATAATTCTCATTAGAATTACAATATAGCCTTTGAATATTGTATTAAGTAAATGAATTCAATTTAAGTTTCATTTTCAAAGTAGTTTTATTTTATGACATTTGATTGGCCCAGTCCATTAGACAAAAAGAAGACCAAATACAACATAATTTCTATAACCTGAGGGGACTCATGCATCATTACCTGATTGCTTGCTGACTTGGCTGTTGATTGGTTTCATGACTTCGAAGCTCCCCTCCTATGACAATTCTTCCTTCCCTAAGGACTCCCTCCTGGCTGTTTCTTCATCCTGCCCTAAGAGCTCGCTCTGTTCCATAAGCTTCCTTTCCTGGGATGAACTTTCGTCATACGTTGTTCTTTGCAGGTCGTCTCTGTCTAAAAGCAGTCCCTGTGTCTGTGACATGCTCTGCTCCAGGAATTCAGAAGCCCCCAGTGACTCTCTCATTGCTTCAGGACCATGAGGCTCAACCTCGGGTTCTGGAGACGGATGTGAGTCTCTCTGATGCTCATACATATATAGTCTGTTTTCAACCACCTCACGGATCAACACTGAAAATTTAAATGTCCAAACATCACTATGATTTTCATACTATGGTATATTTTAGGAGTTATAGTGCTGACTTAAAGATGATTATAAAACCTTCACGAAGCCTCAAGTTAGCATACTTAAATTCACACTTGATGTATTAAACATGAATTATACTGTTTTAACAGAATATCATTTGCAAAATAATGACAGAAGATACTAATAGATATCAAATTATAGAAGAGCCAAAAATAATATTGAGGATAAAAATTTGCACTTTTGTTAATACTACTGACATACTAAAAGTTTAAACATTAGAACTGTAAAATTAATCTTTCTTTCAATTTATTCAATATATTCTTTCTACTAAAAATTTTAGAGATGACTTTTGGATAATTAACTTACTGTCAAGCACTGTTCTTCCCACCATGCTATATTCCATGGTTTTTTCAACTTCATTCATTAGCCATGGAAGAAATCCTATCTCAATATCTGTAATAAAAGAATTCATTGATTTTTATGAATCATCAGAGGAATAATGCACTTTTCTCCTAATGTAATAGACTCATCAACACTGGTTTCATAATATAAAATGTTAAATAGACTCATACAGCATAACTTTTGCCATCTTCCTTATATATGTTCTGGTCAGTTTCCTTTCTATTGCATAAATGATATTTTAACAACTGTGAGGCCTTCCTTGGCATCAAGGCATTTGGAGTCTACTTCATAGGTGCAATCTGAGATAGATCAGGGAGGCAGGGGGAGGATGTGGGTTTGGGAGAACTCCAATCCAAATGTAATGCAAATCTGAGATTGAGCAATGCCAGTAAAAGAAAGTTTCCACCTGAAGCCCAGGGCCTAATGGAATGAAGCTGATCAGACTCAGAGAATGCAGGTCAGAGGGCATCTGAGGAGACGGCCATCTAGAAATAGGTCAGAAACTGGGTGTTTCCATCAGTATTAAGTTTGTTTAAACTGAAATCTGTGTAAGCATTTAAAAAATATGGTCTATTACAATATACATTTTAAAGTTTCAAAACAGTATTTTTTTGGGGGTAGGCATCTAATTTTATTTTTCAATAGGATGAAATGGAGAGTGTGATAAAGTATTATATTCACTATGATAAATAATAAATAATTTTAATCTCAGGCATGAATTGCATTTGCAAGATTTTAAATGATCTATAACTGACTTTTTTTTTTGGCAATCTGTGATAGAAAAAAGATTACTGGTCTCTCTGGCTAACAGAGTCCAGGCTAGAGCACAGGACGGCAGGATGGTAGCAGAGAATGAACACTGGAACTTGGAGTCTGAGTTCCAAGTCCGTTTGAGGCCTAATATTTCCACTGCATGAGGATTTGGGAGCAAGGCATTTAATTTCTCTGAGTTTCAGTTTCTATTTCTGAAAAAATGGGAATTATATCTGACCTGTCTATCCTACAGGGTTATTGGGATTATCAAATGATATTACCTATGAAAAATACTATGTCAACTGGGAAGGTATAAATGTAAACTAATAATATTTGTCTGTGAGCTCATCTCTTTGTATTGAATTGAATATGTAATCATTAAAATTAACATTACTAACACAATGTATTTTGGGGCACATACAATGTATGTGCCCCAAAATACATTGGCCAACAAAACAGGACCTTACATCAAGCACGGTGGATGTAAGTGCTTTCACCCTGAGAAGCTGGGTGGTGGTGAAGACATGCAACTCTTCCCTTCCATTGGCTAAGCAGCTAGGAATGTGGGCTTTGAGGGGATACAGACAGACAGCTATCAGGCTATGGGCTCCCTAACGGCAGACATCAGGGATCCTTCTTTTTTTCCAACACCAAACACTGCCTGGAACAGGGTAAGCACCTAATTAAATGAATAAATGACCTCGATAGCTGCCCTCAAAAGATTTTTGCTTGGAATAAGAAGTCAGATGAGAAAAAGTTAATAACAACCTCTTATACATATAGGACTTTATAGTTTACAGTTTCATGTATTTTATGACTTAACTCATAAATAATCCTCATTTTAGGCTGGGCTTGGTTGCTCAGGCCTGTAATCCCAGCACTTTGGGAGGCGGAGGCAGGTGGATCACTTGAGGCCAGGACCAGCCTGGCCAACATGCTGAAACGCTGTCTCTCCTAAAAAATACAAAAATTAGCTGGGCGTGGTGGCAGGTGCCTGTAATCCCAGCTACTTGGGAGGCTAAGGCAGGGAGAATTGCTTGAACTTAAAAGGCAGAGATTGCAGTGAGCCAAGATCGCACTACTGCACTCCAGTGGGGGCAAAAGAATGAGACTCTTTCTCAAAAAAAAAAAAAAAAATCCTCATTTCACACATGAAGAAACTGGAGGTCATCAAGCTAGTTAATGATAAAGCTGCAACCCAAACTCAAGCTTTCAATACCAAGTCCATCTTTCTTTCTACTATACAAACGTTGCTTCTCAATAAACAAACATTAATGTCCTTAAATCAAGATCTTTGGAATACACATCTCATTGATGACTGTACTTACTTTAAAAAAACAACTAAAACTGACTTTGTGTCAGAAAAAGAAAAATTCCAATTCAAAATAAAAATGGATAGAAGATAAATTTGAACCATGAAGAGGATGCTTATTACAACAAAATTAATCTTACAAACCTCTTTCAATGGGATCATAAAAGTAGCCACTATCCCTGAGGCTGCCAAAAACAGACGGGAGAAGGTCAGCCAGGTAACGCTGTGCAAATGCTCGGGCAGCGATTTTTTGTGATGTCTCGTTGTGCTTGTGCGCTATTTCCCACTGTTGTTTCTTACGCCGTTCCTGTCAAGAACGACATAGGTGGTTATTTAGCTCTTATGCCCTCCCCAAGTACTGAATCTAAGAATGTGGACTTATAAAAAAATGAACAGCAAAGTGTCTATTAAAGGTTCATATTTTTCATCAAAATTTTAACGAATTTCAATAGCAAGTGGGTACTAAATTCAGAAAGTTAAAAAGATGGAGCTTAAGGTAAAACATCTCACTATTAATTTTCAAGTAAAATAATTTCAAGACATTCATGTCTGACAGTATAGATGGCAGCAAAAAGATAATCACCATTATATGCATTTTAAATTAATATTATCATGAAATATTTGGTAGGAAAAATTACAATTGCTTAAAAATCTTCAGTGAGAGAACTCAGGCCAATGAATGAGTTCATTTGTAATAATTCCCTGAATTCATAAAGCTGAATGGTTCTGAAGATCATGAAAGCCTCTTATTTTTTGTTGCCAGGCACAGTGGCTCACACCTATAATCCCAGCACTTTGGGAGGCCAAGGTGGGAGGATCATCTGAGGTCAGGAGTTTGAGACCAGCCTGACTAACATGGAGAAACCCTGTCTCTACTAAAAATACAAAATTAGCCAGGCATGGTGGTACATGCCTGTAATCCCATCTATTCGGGAGGCTGAGGCAGGAGAATTGCTTGAACCTGGGAGGTTGAGGCTGCAGTGAGCTGAGATTGCATGCCATTGCACTCTAGCCTGGACAAAAAAAAAAATTCTTTCTAAAAAAAAAAAAAAAAAAAAAAAAAGCAAGCCTCTTATTTTTTGTTTTTGCTTCCTTTAGACCATGTAATATTTACAAAGCTGATGAATCCTCTTCTCTACTCTTATGTGAAAATGAGAGCATTAATATATTTTCTAATTAAATCTATTTTCAAAGTTTAAACAAATATAAATCTAGGTGACTCTTATATCCAGTTTGTATGACATATTTCCAAATAGTAAATAAACAAATATTTTTTGATAAAGATTTCATGACTCATTTCAACAAAGCTCATTTTGCCACAGTTTATTTTATATTTGTAAACAAAGTCTTACTTTTGCACAATCCTTATTGTAAGCCCTATGTTCTTTACACAATTAAGTATTAATCTTGGAATTAAAGTCCATTTGATAGGTATTCAGTAGGATTTCCCAACAATTACGCTATTTTTCATAGTATATAAGTTAAGCCCTTTGGGAAATTATTTTAACTGTTTCAGGTATTAAGATACTACTTTCTAATTTGTTCATTGGTATACAACAAAGGCTGACAGTCATTGCCAGAACCAGAGAGGCTGTCTTTTCTAGTGCTTCCACTGTAGGCTAGTGGCACATTTTAAAAAACTGGACTGTAAACCTTTCCTTATTGAAGATTCTAAAACTCTGAATCTGAAAAATATTCTATAAAAACCCAAACAGGTCTGGTGTGTCACTAAGGGTATAAAGAAGGGCCTGGTCACTGAGAAGAAGAATCAGAATTCTATCCAGATCCCCTGCTTCTTCCCCACAGGCTCTCTTCAATGCACCCACTTTTCCCTTCCTTTCATCTTTCTGCCACTGACTTATGGCAAACCAACTTATGTATTTCTTTCTCTAGGACTCCTGATATTTAAGAGAGCCTTCCAACTGGGACACGTGTAACCTTGAAACTTTCACTTCATTTCAACACTTTTGGAAACTCAACTTAGGTACGTTTATGTACACCGGAGTTTAAAAGATGTCATTTGGTCCGTGAAAGATGTATGATCTACAGGAGAGACCTGAGCAAAAACTGTAGATCTTTTTCTAATATATTCCCAAAGATCTTTAGCTTTAGGAGATATCATTGCATGTAATTTTGAAAATAATATGCGAATTAGCCAAAAGACTGCCTAAGAAATAAAAATATAATGATATATACTTTTTCTTCTCGGTGTCGCCTCTCTTGCTCTTCAAGTCGTTGAACTTCAGCACGTTCACTGTTCCGTAGTTCTTCATACTCACGCTGACTGGCCCGCAGGTTAGCCAACTCTTCTTCTTCCATGACTTCCAGAAGAGATTGCTCAATTGTTTTCCCCACCAAAACTTCTAACACCGGTGTAACTTCAAGATCAAAGTCGAAGAGCTTAAACATACAAAATAAAGCAAACTTAAAATTTTAATTATGAATCAAATGCTCAACAAAAATATAATGAATAGCAATAATGAGATATTATTTATTAAGTGTCTCCTGTGTGCTAGCCACTGTGCTGTGCTTTATTTGTGGTTTCTAATCCTCAAAATGAACAACATTTTGTTAACAGGCAAAAATCTGTTAAATCAAAGTTTATGAAAAAATATGCATTCATCAAAATGAACCGTTACACCAAAGAGAAATATCCTTGTCTGTCATTCTTTGCCTTTTCTGTTTGATTTTTATTGGCTGTTGATAGTAGTAGTTTGATGAATGAAGGAACAAGAATAACAGGTATTTTGGAGACTCATTGCTAGGATTTATTGGCAAACACAACTTTCACGTAGCTTCTGAAGATTTATTTTATTTCCCAGTTTCAATGACAGTTCTTTCAAGTTCCCGCCAAATCTTAAAACTCCTTTAGGTCATTGTGAACATAATCATTGCCTTCTCTTCTTCAATTTCATAAACAGGCCTATTGATGCATTCCTCACTGATAGAAAAATGTAATTATAATTTTTTTTTTTAAACGGGTATCTTCACAAAAGTTATACAATCCACAAGCAACTAATTGTGGAATCTTTATACCAGGAATATTATTTTTCCTTATTTAGAACAAATCTAGCTTATATACATACATCAGGCAAGCATATAAACAAACAAAAATCAAATGTGGAAATACTCTAAAAATATTTTTAAATGATTTGGCTTCTAATCAGCAAAGAAATCCGAACATGGTATTTTAAAACATTTCTGAGTACTATATGATAAAACCATTATAGATAGTAACTGGAAAGAAACCCAAGAAGTAGAATCTAATTGTGACATGATTCTCACTCACATTAAGCATTATCTACACCTAACTTTACCTCATTTATAAAGATAACAGAGGGAAGCCCACAGAATGTACTTTACCTCTCCTTCTAGTATTTGGGTGGCCACATCTTTGCCAGTTTTGGCAGGAATAAAAAGTGGTGTTGGTGGTCTGTCCAAAAATGCATCTGTTTGGCATTCCATATCAACTTCTATTATGCGATCAGCAATTTCTTCAAGGTATAATTCTAAGAAGAATATCATATACATTGAGTTTAAAATTCTGGTCTAAGGCTGTTTACGGTAGTTCACGCCCATAATCCCAGCATTTGGGGAGGCTGAGGAGGGTGGATCACTTGAGGCCAGGAGTTTGAGACCAGGCTGGCCGACATGCGTGAAACCCCGTCTCTACAAAAAATACAAAAATTAGCTGGGCATGGTGGTGTGTACCTGTGGTCCCAGCCACTCGGGAGGTTGAGGTGGGAGAATTGCTTGAACCTGGGAGGTGGAGGTTGCATTGAGCCAAGATTATACTGCTGTACTGCAGCCTAGGTGACAGAGTAAGACTGTATCTCAAAGAAAAAATAATTCTGGTCTATTTCAAGCATATATGCGTATTTGGAGTTTTAGCTCAGTATTAGAATGAAAGTGCTCAAATGTGGGGTTTACTTCACATATTGAACTAAGGGTTTTTATATATTTGGAAGACCATAGATAGAGTCATTCAACACAGCTAGACCCAATAGGACCAGGTAAGCCTCTACAGCTGAGAACAGACAGACAAGTACGAAAATCCTGGCACCTGCCTCAGGAGTTCCTGTGTGGCCCTGGGGAGTGCGCAAAGTGACAGAACAAAAGGACAGACAAGGCTGGTGTGAGAGGCAGAAGACTCAGATGGGAGTGGGTTTATTCCTCTCAAAAGACAAATAAAATGACAAAATAGAACTATACTGCTGTCCTCTCCTGTAAGTCCTGATGAAAAGAACAGTGATTCATGTTGGGCTATGAAAAGAATCCCAGTTTAAAAATAGAATATGTGAAAAGGGCTAAGAGAGAATTTGTTCGGTCCTAAAATTCTTTTATTTCTTTATTTTTTAGAGATAGGCAACCTCTGCTGCCCAGGCTGAGTGCAGTGCTGTGATCATAGCTCACTGCAGCCTTGAAATCCTGGGCACATATGATCCCCCTGCCTTTGCCTACTGAGTAGATGGAACTACAGCATGCACCACCACACTCAACTAATTAAAAATTTTTTTTGTAGTGATGGGGTCTTGGTATGTTGCCTAGCTGGTCTCGAACTCCTGGGCTCAAGTGATCCTCCTGCCTTGCCTCCCAAAGCGCTGGCATTACAGGTGTGAACCACTGTGCTTGGCCAAAATTCTTTTTTTTTAAAGCCCATTCCACACTTCCAGCCATATCCACTATTATAATAGTAAGTAGTCTATGTATTTGTTTCTTTTTTCTTTTTTTTTTTTTTTTGAGATGGAGTTTTGCTCTTGTCGCCCAGGCTGGAGTGCAATGGCACAGTATTGGCTCACTGCAATCTCCATCTCTCAGGTTCAAGTGATTCTCCTGCCTCAGAGTAGCTGGGATTATAGGCACCGGTCACCACGCCTGGCTAATTTTTTGTACTTTTTTTTTTTTTTTTTTTTTGAGACAGAGTCTTGCTCTGTTGCCAGGTGCCAGGCTGGAGTGCAGTGGCACAATCTTGGCTCACTGCAATCTCCGCCTCCTGGGTTCAAGCAATTCTCCTGCCTCAGCCTCCCGAGTAGCTGGGATTACAGGTGCATGCCACCATGCCCAGCTAATTTTTATATTTTTAGTAGAGACAGGGTTTCACCACATTGGCCAGGCTGGTCTTGAACTCCTGACCTCAGGCGATCTGCCTGCTTTGGCCTCCCCAAGTGCTGAAATTACAGGCATGACTCACCACACCCAGCCTAGTCTATGCATTTCTTTAATAAATGAACATTCCTACCATGTAATTGGGGAAGTATCAGCACAGGAGATGCATAAATAATACAAAGGCCCAATAAAAATGAACTGACATAGACAACTGAGTAAACTGAGAGGACATGATGCCAACGGCACAGTCACACACCTGTTTGCACATCGACATGCTTTCTGCCTTCCACGGGCTCAGGTGTTTGTGGTCTGAGCTGCTCTTGGGCTCGTTTTCTGGCAAGAGCCCTCTTCTTAGCCTCCCGTTGTCTCTGAAGCTCTAGAGCATCAGGCTGTCCAGGCTAACAGAGATAGAAAAGACTTCTAGAATTTAGAAATACTTCTTAAAGCATACAGGAACTGCCATTCCAAAAGCAATTCCTGGGTAGTATAAAAGCATTTGTCATAATGTTTCCTGATTATCAGTGACTTGATTAAAATTGTATTGGAAATAGATACAATTTATCAATATTAAATTGATTAAAATTGTATTGTCAGATAATTACAAAGATGTTTGACAAAGCATAAAAGTAACTTCAAAGTAGGGCTGTTAACTGGAATAGATGGGTGTATGATCCTATCTATACATTTACAAAATTAATGCAAATATTTCCTTTTTAATTTATTCATTGACTTGCTGATTATTCAGGAGTATGTTAATTTCTACATATTTTTGTAGCTTCCAACGTTCCTCTTATTATTGATTTCTAGTTTTACTTCATTGTGGCCAGCAAAGAAACTTGATATGATTTCTACTTTTTAAAATTTGTTCAGACTTGTTTTGTGGCCTAAGATATGGTCTATTCTGAAGAATCTTCCATGTGCTGAAGAAAAAAAATGTGCATTCTGCAGGAGATGGATAAAATGTTCTATAAATACCAGTTAGTCCTAATAGGTCTAATGTGAAGTTTAACACTGATTTTCTTTTATTTTCTTTCTTTTTTTTTTTTTTCCTGATTTTCTATTTGGATGATCTATTTATTACTGAGAATGGGGTGTTAAAATCTCCTAATATTATTGTACTGCAGTCTATTTCTCCCTTTAGATCTATTCATGTTTGCTTTATATACCTGGGAGCTCTGGTGTTGGGTGCATAGATATGTATCATTGTTATAACCTCTTGCTGAATTGATCGCTTTATTATTATAGGATGACCATGTTTCTTTTTACAGTCTTTGATTTGTAGTTTATCTGATGTAAGTATACTCAAGCTCTTTTTTGGTTTCTAGTTGCATGGAAAATCCTTTTCCATCCCTATACTTTCAGTCTATGTGTGTCTTTGTAGATGAAGTGGGTTTCTTGTAGGAGCATATAGTTGGGTCTTGTTTCTTTATCCAAGCAGCTATTCTATGCCTTTTAATTGGAGAACCAAGTCCTCTTACATTCAGTGTTCTTATTGATAAAGCAAGGACTGACTACTATCATTCTGTTGCTTATTTTCTAATTGTTTTGTATCGCCCTCCTTCTTTATTGTCTTTCTTTGTGTTGACAGACTTTATTTCATAGAATATTTTAGTTTGTTGATTTTAATCTTTGGTGAATCTATTACAGATTTTTGCATTGTGGTTACCACGAGCTTATACAAAACATCTTATATAACAAGTTGTTAGCAGAGATGACAACTTATCTCAGATCACAAAGAATGAAGCAAAAAAAAAGAAAAAAAAAGAAAAAAAAATTCTACACTTCAACTCCATCCCCCACATACTAACTTTTAGTTGTCGCATTGCACATGTTTTTATATTACCTACCTCTTAGCAGGCTGCTGCGGCTGTTGTTGTTTTTGATAGCTGTCTTTTGGGTTTCCTACTAGAATTATGAGTGGACTGCATACCACACAGTTAAGGTTTGTCTGTGTACTTAATATAACCAGTGAGTTTCATACCTTCAAATGTTTTCTTTTGGCACATTAGTGTTATTTTTTCATTTTTGTTTAGGCTGAAGAATTCCCTTTAACATTTCTTTTAAGATGGGCATGAGGGTGCTGAATTTGCTCATCTCTCCTTCATATTTGAGGGTAACTTTGCTGGATACAATATTCTTAGATGAACTTTTTTTTTCTTTCAGCACTTTGAAAATGTCATCCCAGTCCCTCTTGGTCATTCCACTCCCTCCTGGCCTATACAGTTTCCATTGAGAAGTCTGCTGCCAGATGGATTGGAGCTCCTTCATGTATGCTATTTGCTTCTTTCCTCTTGCTGCTTTTAGGATTCTTTTCTTGTCCTTGACCTTTGAGAGCTTGATTATTCTATGGGGCATTATTCGGGGTGAATCTGTTTGGCATTCTCTGACTTTCCAGTACCTGGATATCTATCTCTTTCTCAAGTTTTGGCAAGTTTTCTGTTGGCATTTCTTAAAACAAGCTTCCTACTCCTTGCTCTTGCTCAACTCCTTCTTGAACACAAGTAATTCTTAGTTTTGGTCTTTTAGGGTAAACTTCTATATCTTATAAGCAGTCTTTGTTGCTTTTCATTCTTTTTTCTCCTCAGACTGTGTATTTTCAAATAGTCTGTCTTCATGTTCACTGATTCTTTCCTCTGCTTGATTCATTCTGTTGTTGAAAGCCTCTAATAAATTTTTCAGTTCAACAAATGTTGATCACCAAGATGTCTGTTTAAAAAAATATTTCAATCTCTTTGTTAAATTTCTCTAATGAATTTCTAAACTGCTTTTCTGTGTTATCTTAGACATCACTGAATTTCCTTAAGGATGCTATTTTGAATTTTTGGCCAGACAGCTCACATCTTGCCATCTCATTAGGGCCAGTTACTGATTCCTTGCTTTGTCCCTTTAGATAGGTCATGGTTCCCTGTTTGTTGTTGTTTCATGTGTTTTGTAGATGTACATCTACATCTCTGTACTGAAGGCCTGCTTTGCTTTTCATTGGATATATTTTCTTAGAGATTTTTTTTTTCTTTTTTAAGACAGAGTCTCGCTCTGTCACCCAGGCTGGAGTGTAGGTGCGTGACCTTGGTGCACCACAACCTTCACCTCCCAGGTTCAAGCGATTCTCCTGACTCAGCCTCCCAAGTAGCTGGGATTACAGGGGCCCGCCACCACGCCTAGCTAAGTTTTGTATTTTTAGTAGAGATGGGGTTCCACCACGTTGATCAGGCTGGTCTTGAACTACTGACCTCAAGTGATCTGCCTGCCTTGGCCTCCCAAAGTGCTGGGATTACAGGCATGAGCCACTGTGCCCTGCCAGAGATCCCTTATCTCTAGATTGCTGCCTCCTTTTCGGCCCTAGGTAGTACCATAAAGGCAGCTTCACCTGGCTCTAGTAAATGATCAAAGTGCTGCCCATCCTGAATGGGGAGGCCCCAAAGGGGATACCCTGGCAGTGTGGCTAAGGGTTTGTGCCCAGGGAGCAGTACAATGTATCTCCTACAGTGTGGTGCTGCTGAACAGCCATTCTGATTTGGTGTTTCCTTTGGTTAAGTTATACGGCAGGGTGTCTGGGGCCAGGGATGGTAGTCTCACCTCCCCATTTTGTCTCTGGCTGTACTAGGGTATTTCTCCCTTCTGTTGGAACTCATGACACTTCTTGTGGGTTGAATCTCCTGCCAGGGAACCCAACATGGTAGGGAAACTAGTTGTCTGCGTTGACCTTACTTTTTCCAGTGCAGAAATCACAAGTCAAAGATAAATCCTTGTGATGGTTAGTTAATACTAAGTGTCAACTTGATTGGACTGAAGGATACCAAGTGTTGATCCTAGATAAGTCTGAGGGTGTTGCCAAAAGAGATTATCATCTGAGTCAGCAGGCTGAGAAAGGCAGATCCACCCTGAATCTGGGTGGGCACAATCTAATTAGCTGCCAGAGTGGCTAGAATATAAGCAGGCAGAAAAATGTGAAAAAAAGAGACTGGCCTAGCCTCCCAGCCTACATCCTTCTCCTGTGCTAGATGCTTCCTGTCCTTGAACATCAGACTCCAAGTTCTTCAGTTTCGGAACCTGGACTGGCTCTCCTTGCTCCTCAGCCTGCAGATGGCCTATTGTGGGACCTTGTGATTATGTGATTTAATACTTTAAATAAACTCCCCTTTATACATATATATCTATTCCATTAGTTCTGTCCTTCTAGAGGACTAATACAATCCTCCATGTCCTTAGTGCCAGGTAGACTAGAAGGAGAGGTGTTGTAGATATGAAAGTCTGATTCTCCTACCATCTCTTTGGAGCTTTTTCACTTTTCTGTAGCCCTGGGAACTGCATCCTCCTTCTACTTGAGCTCTAGAATATTGCTGGTGATAATTTTGGCACTGTACATTTGTTCTTGGTTTCCTGTTGTATGGGGAGTGAAGCCAGCCTGCCTCTATGCTGCCATTTTAGAACTACTGAAAAATATTTTCACTGGATTAGAATTAGAGCTTGATAGTTCTTTCCTTTAAAGACTTGAAAAATATTGTGCCACTTTCTTGTTGTCTCCATGTTTGAGGTAAGAAATCCACTGCCATTTAAATCATTGTTCTCCTTTAGCTAACAAGTAATTTCTTTCTGGCTGATTTCAAAATGTTTTGCTTTTAATTTTCAAAAGTTTGATCTTGGCATGTCTTGGGTAGATTTCTTTGGGGTTATCCTGTTGGAGGTCACTTGGCTTCTTGAATCTGTAGGTCTTTTGACAAATTTGTGGAATTTTAAAGCACGATTTCTTCAAATATTTTTCCACCTCATACTTTTCCTTCTCTCCTTCTAGGATTCCAACAACATGAATATAAATATTTGTGATTGTTCTGCAGCTCTCTCAGGCTCTTTTTTTGTTTGGGGGTGGTGGTGGTCTATTTTCTCTCTGTTCAGCTGGATAACTTCCATTCTTCATTGATTTTTTTTCAAGTTCACTGATTATTTCCTGTGTCATCTCCAATGTACTACTGCATCCATCTAGTGAGTTTTTTATCTTGGTTATTGTATTTTTCAGTTCTATAAGTTTCCATTTGGTTCACTTTTGTATCTTGTATTTCTTTGCTAAGATTTTTTTTTCATTTGTTTCAAGAGTGTCTGTAATTATTCACTTTTCATTGAAACATTTTTGATTGTTGCTTTAAAATCCTCGTCAGGTAATTCCCACATCTGAATCATCCTGGTTTTGTCATTTCTTGATTGTCTTTTCCCATGCAAGTTGTAACTGTCCTGATTCTTGTATGATGAATGATTTTTGTTTGTATCCTGGCTATTTTAGGTATTATATTGTAAGACTTTGGATTCTATTTAATCTTTCAGTAGGAAATTGCCCTTTTTGTTTTAGTGCACAAGTCTGTGGGGTTGGAAGTTCAAATCCCCGCTGGGCCCCACTGACACCATCTCAACAAAAACAGTGGGTCAACTTGTACCAGCACATTGGTGCCAGGTGGGGGTGGTAGTTCAGCTCCTTGCTAGGCTCTGCTGACACTGGTGTTGGGGTGGTGGGAGTGCAGCACTGACTAGCACTGCCTCATGCCACCTCATTACTGCCAGATAGGACTGCAATTCAGCTACCCACTGGATTTGCTGACACCACCCCAGAAAGAGTGGGGCACTGACTTGTGCCATCTCCTACTACCTCATTGCTGATGGGTGAAGGTGAAAGTTCAGCTTCTTGCTCCACCCTTGCTGATATCATCTCAGTGGGGGAAGCAGGAAACCCCTGGACGTTCTAATGCAGGAGATCCAGGATAGGGTTGAAGCATATATATATGTTTAATAAGTTAACCATTGCTTCAGACTAAAGAGAGAAGCCATTACTCTCCTGCCTGTTGCTTGCTAGGGACGGGAGTAAAAGATAAAATGTAAAGAGCTGAAGTCAGCAGTCAGGGGGCCAGCTAACCTCACTGGCTCTGCCCCATTGGGCCTGAGAGTTAGGAAAGATAACTCCCCCTTCCAAAACTGGTGCCTATGTTATCTGTAAACCTTAAGAATGTAACAAAGAAATGTTCTTTCCTGCCATGGTTGCACAAGAACCTGCCTTTAGTCACTTACTCCATGCTTGCCCAATTCACTCCCCCACTTTAAGTTAATTCTATCACAGAATGATTAACTACCTTTGTTCAACTTCTCCAAGTTTGCTGTAACCCTTCCCCTTTCTTCCTTCCCGCGTGCACCAAATATGAATTAGTGAATCAATGAAAGACAACGACTGTGAGGTCAATGCCCAGCCAATGGGCTATAACACGGTTTCACCTTCGCTCTCCCTTTAGAGTTAGAAGCCCATACAAAGGGAAAGGAACTGCTCTTCGGGGAGCTCGGTTTTTGGGACGTAAGTCTGCTGAGGTTCCACAGCTGAATAACATCACTTGTTTCCTTACTCCGGTGTCTGAGGGGTTTTGTCTGTGGCTCATCCTGCAACAAGACTAATAGATGTTCCCCATCATATTTTTTATGATTTTTCAGCTTTACGGTGATGAAAAGTATCCACAGAAAATGTGCTCATACAACCATTATGTTTTTCACTTTCATATTTAATAAATTATATAAGATAGTCAATATTTTATTATAAAATAGGCTTTATGTTAGATTTTTCCCAATTGTAGGCTAATATAAATGTTCTGAGCACTTTTTTTTTGAGACAGGGTCTTGTTCTGAAAATATTCTTTAGGTGGCTTCTTCACATCCCTCATTAAACATTCAACAGCATTCTCTCTAATGTGGATTTGAATGCTATTACTCATCTTTACTTTCTTTTTAATCACTTATTTCCTGATACTCCCTGCCTCAGACTCTAATTCATTCATATTGAACTTCCCTCAATTCCTCAACATTCTAGGTTGTATTTTTGGTTTTGTTTTTAGAGACAGGGTCTCCCTCTGTCACCCAGGCTGGAGTGCAGTGGCGTGACCACAGCTCACTGCAGCCTTGTCCTCCTGGGCTCAGTCAATTCTTCTGTCTCAGCCTCCCAAGTAGCTGGGATTACAGGTGCGTGCCACCACGCCCAGCTAATTTCTGTGGGTTTTTATTTTTATTTTTTGTAGAGACGGGGTTTTATCATGTTGCCCAGGCTGGGGGTCTCGAGCTCCTGGGTTTAAGCAGTCTGCCCGCCTCAGCCTCCCAAAGTGCTGGGATTACAGGCGTGAGCCACCACTCCTGGCCTCTGAGCACATTTAAGGCAGATTATGCTATGCTATGGTGTTTAGCAGGTTTGGTGTTTTAAATACATTTTCAATGTTCAGTGGGTTTATTGGGGACATAACCTCATTGTAAATAGAGGAGCATCTCTATCGCCATCTTGTATTAGGCACTTATATGTTATACACTGTTTATAAATTCACCTATATTTCATTTCTGTGCCAAGAACTCACCACCCTTAATATCATACCATGTCTTACTCATCTCAGCATCCTAGGTACCCAGAACAGGACCTAAAACTCAATAAATAATTGTTGAGTGAATTACAGAAGCAGAATTCATACTTTTTGATTAAATAATGATAATTGTATTAGAGTATGAGGTGATCTAAACAAATCTAGATGGATTAGACCAGTGCTACTCAAAATGTGGGCCTCTGGCTAGTATATCTGTGAACTACTTGAAATGGTCTGTAACAATTTATAGAAATTGAGAATAAAAGTTTAGAAAGGTTTAGAATGGCAGAGTTTTGTTGAATCTAATGAAAAATTAAGGCTTTTTCTTAGTTAATTCTTTTTAAAATTATTTTATTATTTATTTTGAGATAGAGTGTTGCTCTGTCGCCCAGGCTGGAGTGCAGTGGCACGGTCTTGGCTCACTAGAGCATCTGCCTCCCAGGTTCCAGTGATTCTCCTGCCCCAGCCTCCCATGTAGCTGGGACTACAGGTACCTGCCACAACGCCTGGCTAATTTTTGTATTTTCAGTAGAGATGGGATTTCACCATGTTGGTCAGGCTGGTCTCGAACTCCTGATCTCAGGTGATCCACCCACCTTGGCCTCCCAAAGTGCTGGGATAACAGGCATGAGCTACTGCACCCAGCCTAGTTAATTCTTTTTTTTTTTTTTTTTTTTTTTTGTGGTAAAATGCACATAATGTAAAAATTATCACCTTAACTATTTTTAAGTGTAAAATTCAGTGGCATTAATTACATTCATACTGTTCTATAACTGTCACCATCCTCTTATCTCTGGAACTCTTTTCATCGTGCAAAACTGAAACCCTACACTCATTAAATGATAACTCCTTCCCTGTTCCCCTCACCCTTCAGCTCCTGGAAACTGTCATCAGGCTCTACTTGTATGTCTTTTTAAAATTTCATTTTTGTAGTAATTCATCTTTATTTTATGAATGTTTTACTCTGCAATGGATTAGAAATTAACACAAACAAACAAACAAACTGATCCTTCCCCAAAGACAATGTGAAAACGCAGTGTTAGACTATTCAAACTGAACTTACCAGTGGCCCGGTCTGGAGTGCGTAAGTGTTGCCTCGAATTACCCTTCTGTCATACATTATGTTTCCATAATGCATAGGTTCTTCATCTCTGTAAAACAGAAAATTCTGTATAGCCACTTTAACAGAGTATTGGTATCTATGAAGTAACTCATTTTCAACAGGATCTAAACTAAGATGAAAATACATGTACTTTATTTTATTTATTATTCACAATAAGCTACAAGTTGGGAATTATATTCCTTTTTCAGAAGGGGAAACAGACTCAGGAATCTGCCCAAGGTTACCTTGCTAGCAAGTGGCAGAGCCAGATTTAGGTTGTAAATCTACCTGACTTCAATAAATATGAAAATGGCCCATTTGAAAAGGGGCCTTCTTAGGCCGGGGTGGTGGCTCAAGCCTGTAATCCCAGCACTTTGGGAGGCCGAGGCGGGTGGATCACGAGGTCAAGAGATCGAGACCATCCTGGTCAACATGGTGAAACCCCGTCTCTACTAAAAATACAAAAATTCAGCTGGGCATGGTGGCGTGTGCCTGTAATCCCAGCTATTCAGGAGGCTGAGGCAGGAGAATTGCCTGAACCCAGGAGGCGGAGGTTGCAGTGAGCCGAGATCGCGCCATTGCACTCCAGCCTGGGTAACAAGAGCAAAACTCCGTCTCAAAAAAAAAAAAAAAGAAAAGGGGCCTTCTTTAAAGGACTGAAAAACCTTGTACGAAGACTGAAAAGTTACACTAATAAAAGAATCAGGCTTAAGAATTAAGTCAATTTTCTCATTGTTCTTTAAACCCAAATATATTTTTAAAGTTACTAGTTAAAATGTTAATAAAATTTTCCAGCCTGGCCAACATGATGAAACCCTACAAAATTAGCCGGGCCTAGTGGTGTGCGCCTATAATCCCAGCTGCTCTGGATGCAAAGGTTGCTGCATCCACGGAGCTTGCATTCCTATAAAGTTCTGCCGAATTCAGCATTTGAGGCTTATGGAAAGAACTTTAGAGAACCATTTAACTTTAAGTGAACTTTAAGAGTTTATGTTTTTTTTTTTTTTTTTGCCCCTCAATATGTTTGAATATTTGCAACTATTCATCCACGTAAAAATACAATTTGTTGGCCGGGCGTGGTGGCTCACGCTTGTAATCCTAGCACTTTGGGAGGCTGAGGCGGGAGGATCACTTGAGGCTAGGAGTTTGAGACCAGCCTGGCCAACGTGGCGAAACCCCGTCTCTACTAAAAATACAAAAATTAGCAGGGCGTGGTGGTATGTGCTTATAGTCCTGGCTACTCGGGAGGCTGAGGCAGGAGAATAGAGGCTGACGCAGGAGAATCGTTTCAACCTGGGAGGCGGAGGTTGCAGTGAGTGGAGATCGCGTCACTGCAGTCCAGCCTGGGTGAAAAGAGGGAAACTCCATCTTAAAACACCACCACCATCACCGCCACTACCACCGCCACGGCCACCAAAACATACACATACACAAACAATCTGTGGTCCTGCATGGAAGAATAATCTTATTCCTGCTCAAGGCCTGTAGAAGAGATTTCCTCGGCTCCCATTTTGGATGTGCTATTGTTGGGTATTTTTGCACCGCAGTTTCCTCATCTGCATAACGGAGTTGTAAAACCAACACATCACTGTGGATTTAAGTAAGAAAACGTATTTGAATGCCCCCAGCAAGGTGCCCAGCACATCGTTGGCCCTCAATACACACAATGCACATTTTTTCAAATGAGCCGATTCGTGTACATGTTAAGGACCATGGCAGCAACTCAGTAACACTAAAAGTTAGCTGATGCCCAACCTGTGCCCCTTCTTGCTTCACTCCTCCACACCACGGGAGATTCCTTAGGGCAGAACGTTTATTTCGGCAGAGTGAGGCCAAGGAAAGACAGCATGAGCAGCCCTTGCCAGGGCGAAGACCCCGGGGATGGGTGCAAGTAGGGATCACACAGGGGCTGGCTTGGACACTCACGGCTGCGTCAGGCTGTCCCGGTAACGGCGGCGCTGGCAGGGCAGTGCCCGAGGCCGGCTGGTGTAGGTGTAGGTGCCCGGGGCCCGAGAGGTGCTGTCAGTCAGCGTCGAGGCCATGTCCGGGGGCAGAACACCTCGCTTTCGGTGGAGCTTGGCTTTGAAGCAAGTGGGCGCTAAGGTGTCGTGGGACCCGGAGAGATGCAAGTAGTGCCAAGGGCAAGGATTCCGCGACGGGAGGAGAGGCGACAATAAGGGAGGTGGGCGGGACGGGAGGTTACCGGCGCCGGAGGTGGGAGCTACACCGGGCTTGTTCCCAGCAAGGCAGAGACCGGCTGCAGTGGCCGCATCGGTTGCCCAGCAACCCGGGGCTCTGTCTGGGGCCGGGAACTCCGGGGAGTTCCGGTCCGCTGGTTTCCCGGGAGGGGCTGCGGCGCTAGGCACTTCCGGCTCTTGACTCCGCCCAGTTGCCCCTCCCCGGCAGCTGCGCCTGCGCGTTGGGAGTCCCCTGGCCAGGGAGGCGGCCTTGGCTGGCTTGACCGTCTTCTCTGAGGCCTGCGGGGCCACGGTGGCTGTCACCGGCCCCGCTTTGGAATGTGGCTTTGCAGGGCTGGTGTTGGCGCCATTCTCTCAGGCCCACGTGCTCCTGCTCTTCCAGGGCGTCCTCTGCTGTTTCTCCTGCCGCCGCGCCGCAGCGCTCCCAGGCTGGCGCCGCGATGACACGTCCCTGGCAGCCGGGCTTCCAGCTCTGTTACGTGCCCGGGCGGGGAAGGGCTTCCAGGTGTCTCCTGGCACCTCCGCTTTTCCCGCCCCAGGGGCGGGCCGCCGCCGCCCTCCGCCGCCGAGTCTGTGCAGTTCCTCCCCTGCCTTCTCTGCTCGCCGCTGTGTGCTAGCAGTCGGAGGACCCTTGACACACGGAGCGACAAGGGCCGCCCCCACAGACACCTCATTTTGAGAAAGAAGTGGGCAGTTTATTGAGTCTTGAAAAAATATAAAGGCATAGTTCCCCCGTGCCTTAATCTATCAGGCCCCAGGCTCTGAAGAATAAACCTGGTATCGCCGGGCGAGGCTGCGCTTAAAAACGCAGACGCTTTGGCTTTCGTACCAGCAGTGTTAAAAATCTTGTATCTTGTATGAGTGAAGTGTGTGTATCCCTTGTGATGAGTTATTTGCATTTGCAGTTACACCGTCAATTTAGATAATAACTGTCTTGATTTGAATCCAGGTTCTGTAATGTACTAGCTCTGTAGCCTCAGGCAAGTTAAATGTTTCCGTGCTTCATTTTCCGAATCCACGTAGTGGAAATAGAAGAATTTCTCTCTTCAGGTTTTGTTCTGAGGATTAAAACTGTTAGCACTTAGAGCTGTGCCTCGTAAATGGTAATCCTTTACATTAAGATCTGTATCTGTTCTCTGCTTTGAAGTGTCTGTCCTCAAGCAGATGTAGGCATTCTGTAAGTAACGCTAACATAAAGGTGTATGGTAAATTCTAGAGGTAAAAACACTGCCAAAAGATTTTAGGTCTGATCAGTTAATTTTGAGGTAATTTCTTTTTCCTTTCCTTTCCCCC